AAATCTAATATTGCCCTATGTTATATGCATTTATTACATTTTATTTTATTATTTTATTTACCTCTCATTTTCTTTTCTTAGTCATGAAGTGATTTTACATTTTTTTATTTTGTTCATTTAAAAATAATTATGTAATTAGTGATTTAATTTAATCTAATCTCATCAACCATTCATTGTTTTATTTTTATAATTTATTATTTTATATTTTAATAAAGATGTATATACTTATTTTTTCTTTTTTATATATATGAATTTAATGTCATCTTTATTTTTTCGTTCCCCACTAAATTTATACTATACTTACATATACGTGTGTGTGTGTGTGTGTGAGATTTTTGTATTTGTTTATATATATGTACACACACACCAACACATATATATATTGATCAATTCCTATTGTTAATATAAATTGTTTCATTGATTAATGTTATATGAATTATTTGCTTTATCGATTAATTTATTTATTTTATTGTGTTTTTTTATTTTTATTGTGCTTTATTTGTTTAATAAGTTTGTTTGTTTACATTAGTGTTTCTTCATATTGTGATTCATTGTGAATTATATTTTATGATTTATTTATGATAATTTATTATTTTAGTGTGTATGTGAAGGATTTTTTTTACTATAATATTTATTTATTAGGATTTATTTATTAATTTTGTCACATTTTCAATTGTTGTTATTATTTTAGTTTGAATCATGATAAATCTTATCAAACTTGAATTTACATCTTTTGATATTATGAGAAAGAATTATCTTTCTTAGGTATTAGACACTGAAATTTATCTAGATGTCAAAGGTTTAGGAAATGTAATTTTACCATGGAAATGAAGCAACTAGTCAAAATAAAGTCAAGGCTATGATTTTCCTTCATGTTTGATGTAGAAATAGAAATTATCCAATTTGTAAAAAGAAATGAGTCAGGGTTTATTGTAGCTATTGTCTTTATGAATGATTTGAATACAATTGAAATAATTGAAGAACTTTAAAAGGCAGTTGATTGTTTAAAGAAAGAATTTAAAATAAAAAATCTTGGAAGAATAAAGTTTTGTCTCAATTTACAAATCGAGTACTTAGCAGGTGAAATTTTTCTTCATCAATCAGCTTGCACTAAAAAAATAATGAAGCAATTTTTCATGGACAAAGTGTATCCATTAACTACTCCAATAGTTGTTAGATCTCTTGATGAGGAAAAAAAATCATTTTCAGCCTTGAGAAAAAGATAAAAAACTTTTTAGTCCTGAAATGTCATATCTTAGTGCTATAGGTATGCCAATACATCTTGCTAATTTAATAAGACCTGATATTGTATTTGCTATAAATTTATAAGCAAGATTTAATTCTTTCTCAGCCCAATAAAAAGGCATTGGCATGGAGTTAAACACATATTTTGATATCACCAAGGGGCAATTGATATGGGATTAGTCTATTATAATGAATTTAGATCACAACTTATTGGTTATGTAGATGTAAGGTTCCTATCAAATTCTCATAAAGGCAGATCACAAACCAAATACTTATTTATATGTAGAGGTACATCAATATCTTGGTGCTCAATAGAATAAACTTTAGTTGTTACCTCATTAAATCATGCATAAATATATGCAATTCATGAGATAAGTAGATAGTGTGTTTGTTTAAGGGCAATGATCTAGCATATTCAAAAGATGTGTGGTTTATTTCTAGAACAAAAGATTTCAATAATATTATATGAAAATAATACAATGTGTGTAGCTCAATTGAAAGGAGGATACATTAAAGAAAATAGAATAAAACATATTTCTCCAAAATTCTTTTTGACTCTTAATCTTTTGAAGAGCAATGACATAGATATTTAGCAAATTCACTTATGTAATAATTTTGTAGATTTGTTTACTAAGGCATTACCAACTTTAACATTTGAAAAGTTAATGTATGATATTAGAATGCACAGATTCAGAGATATAAAGTGTCATCATGTGAGTGAAGTGATATTGTTATTAAGGAGAGTAAATAACATGTTGTACTCTCTCTTTTTTTTCTTTTTAAGGTTTTGTCCTACTTAAATTTCACGAAAATAAAAATGTTGTGTACTCTTTTTTTCTTCACTATGTTTTCATTCTACTACGTTTCTTTTAATAAGGTTTTAATAAAACACAATAGTTATTATTGATATGTAAGGAGCATTATAAATATTATATTTTGAATGTTCATAACTCATATTTTTTATGATTTTTGTATTTTTAATGTCCTAATGAATGGTTTAGAAGGAGTTTTTTATGGTTAATACTCTTTAACCTTCAAAAGATACATAACACCATTTTATATCTCTTTATTTCTTTGTAATATTAAAATAGAACTTTAATGATTGAAGGTTTATAAATAAAAATTATATTCAAAATATATTAACATAAGTAAATAAGAAATTCCCAACCATTATTTTCCCTCATATTTCTTTTCTTGTTAGGCTCTTTTCTACTTTTTATATTAGTTATGCGTTATAGCGAAAAAAACATTACAATAAATGGAAAGAAGATAATACTGGAATTTAGGCAATGGCGGCTTGGGTAGAGGAAGGACATGAACCCAATTCAAAAGAGGAGCATGTGGCTGGGCCTAGTGGGGAGTGACGTGATGGTCTGAGACAAACACCGGCCGTTGATTTGGCTGCCGCTATCGACGGTCACGCGCCTTTAGCGGTGGATTGACGTGCTTCTGACGTGGCGCCTTCTTTTTCCCATAGCCGACAGGATGACGTGTCTCCATGCACATGGCTTGCATGTGGGGCCCAATTTGACGTGGACGTTATAAAATTTCAGATCACATGCAGCAGGGACAAGATAAACTACCAATTCAAATTCCATGCTGGGTTTTACATTGTAGCTAATTTATTGGAAGATGTTTTTTTTTTTTATTGGAAGATGCTCTCCCCAAGGCGCGTTCACTGAATTGTAATTGTTGGGGGAAAAAAATTCCCTTAATTGTAATATTTTTTAGGAAAATATTAATAAAGAACCCTTGTCCGATTTATTTTGAATAAAAATTCCTAAATTTTTTAAATATTACTGTAATTTAGAAGTCCTGATTGAATATTAAATTTATAAAAAAAATAAAAAATTTACCTCCCATTTAAATTAATATTAGAATTTTCTTACTTCACTTATTCATTTACTTATGAAATGTTGTTCATTACCATACTTAATTTTATTTTTTATGTTTAAATCATCTTAAGAAAACTTATTAGTTTCTATCCTATATATTATTCATTTACTCACAAACTATTGTTCATTGCCCTACTTTTACTTAATTACATTCCAGAGAAATGAATAAATGAAGTAAGGAAATGAACAATATTTTGTAAGTAAATAAATAAGTGAGTTAGAATAGTTCTGATATTAATATAAATGAGGAAAAAGTTTGTCATTTTTTTCAAAAATTTAATATCGAATCAAGATCATTGCATAGTAGAGATAATTTAAAAATTTTGATCCTGTTTAGTTATTAGAGAGGAATGGAGTTGATTTAAAAAAATAATATAAAAATGAATTAGATTATCTTCCCTCTATAATAAGCATGACAAAATTCATTAATATATATTATAAATATAAGAATTATTACATCCTTTAAATATCTCACGAATTATCACAATCTTCACAAATTTTATGAATGAACTCACCTATTTCTTTTAATTATTTTATTTTTATTTTTATTTTTTTATTTCATTACATTTTACTCATTTCTAGTAAGTAAACAGGAACTCAAAGGTTTTGATTTGAAAAAGTCTGATTAAACGGTCTTTATTGATATTTCCCCTTTTTTTTTTATCCGTATTGTAATTTAAGCGAGGCCTGGTGGTTTTTTTTTTAAAAAAAAAGGGTTAAGTGAGGCTCAATCAATACTATAATATATAATCCTCAATGGCCTGTCAAACTTCAATGAATTTAGGGGGATAACAGATCCTCACGTAAAACTTGATTAAACTTGGTTGTGTTTTCTAAAACTTCAAAGACCAGGCCCAAGCATATTGTAATCAAAGTTTGTTTTTCTTTTTTCAAATGAAAGCCTAGTCTTGCAAAAAAAATTCCATTCTTCGTCCATCCAAAACGAAAAAGAGTTCATTGTTTGTTTTCACCCAGAAATAAAGGGAAAAAAAGAAGGGAAAAGTGTTCAATGCATATAGAAGCATTTCTCTCTACTAACAAAGGTTGATTCAATCATAACTTATAAGGTCATGAGATTAAATTTCTTTATCGATATGAGAATTTTGTTAGTAGATGATATGAGCATTCTTTAAATCTAAATGCATGATCTAACCTTAATGACTTCCTGTAATCTAACTCATCTAAACTTTTTTGCATATAAAAAAGCATCACTTTTGACAAACTATCATTTATCATGACCCACTAATTATCCTTATCAAATAATTAATTCTATACGAATTATTACTACTATTAACATTTCGAGAATGCATCTAATTGAGAAGTAGCCCAGGAGTTACTTTTCGGTTCTCAATTAACAGGGTTTGGTATTGCTTAAACACAATACCAAACACATGCTTGTACTTTATAATGATTTTAATTAAACCCTATTTTATTATTCTACTTTAAATAAGTGTGTGTGTATGATATCACCTTAGCGGCTTAGTTTATATAATGCTTCTTTACAATTTTATGTTAATCCTCAACTTAAATGTTTGGCATGTTGGTAGCAATAGATTGCAAATGATGCAGCTGTATTAACCACCATCCCTGTGATGTAGTCAAGTAAAAACTATAGTCAAACCAATTACGTACTCAAAATTTATGCAATATTTATTAAAAATGTGTAGCAACTAGTAACACACTTTATTCTTCTTCTCTCAATGTCGAAGGTTTGAACACTTGACATGTGGGAGGATCATTATCTTCAACACCGACATGACAGTCGACCATTGACAACTAGCAACACACTTTAAAATCACATTGGCAATGATTTGTCATAAAAATATTAGGTTTGGTGGTTCATTTATACCTCGTATATAGTTTATATCAGGTGTCTCTCTACTTGTACTCTCTATGATGTCATTAGTGGTATGCCCGAACGAAATTTCTACCCATGATTATAATTTACATAGCATTCATGTGCAATAAGTTTCTAGGAACAAGGAAGATTCTAAAAGCAAGCAAAAAGCTAGGCATGGTGCCAAGGGAATATCATAGAATGAGTAAAGGAGAGCAAGCCATAAGACGAGCCTCTAGAGTTTAGCCATTATAATAAGTAACACTACTTGAGACGAAGGAATTTTTTATCCCCTTTCATGGGATGAAGTAGAGAAACAAAAAATAAAGAAGAAATAAAAGAATTGGTTCCACTTGTGTATAAGCTCATATGTGTAAAGATGGGATTCACTGTTTATTTTTCTTTCTTTGCTTCATCATGGTGAAGTATCTAGAGGATCAAGATCCAAGACAAAATGTGTATATAAAGTGTTTGTGTGCGTGCTGAGAAAGTAGGATATAGTACACATACACAATACAGGCTAGTTTTCTTTGTATCCTTTTTTGTTATATAGAAAATCTTTGTTTTGATTCTTTGAAGTTCGGAAAGGAAAAGAAATATACATTTCATCAAGATGATGAGAAAGAAAGACAAAAAAAAAAAAAATCAATCGGGAAAAGATAAGATCACAAAACATTGACCAGGAGCATCATCATCATCCCCAAGAACAGGTCGAGTTCTAGTCACAGACGCAACAGGCATTTTACTCTCACCAACCCAGAATGTATCAAAAGGCTCACATCTTCGAGAATTCTCCTCCAATTTTCTTATCTTCCTCCTCTCCACTAACCTAACAATACCCACAAGACACAGTCCCATGATGACCAGCCCCAACCTTACCTTCCACCGTATCCTATGTTCCCTCACAACCACAACATCAGATTTCATTTCCACTGGGACCACAAGGGCATAGTACGCTTCGCTTGGTGTCTCGCACTCATATGACCCACTCACATTTGTAAACCCTGTCAATCCATTTTCATCAAACTTAGCACAGATTAGTTTCTCATGACGATTATCCCCTTTTGGGTCTATCTGATAGGAAAATCTAAGAGTTATTGGATCTCCTAGGATGCTAAGGTGCATCTTCTTCTTCTTAGGGTGAATTAAGGTTGTGTTTGAGGAAACATAGGCCATGAAACCAAGAACAGGAGGAAATATTGTATGATTAGGGACATTGAAGGATTGAGAAGACAAGTTTCCAAAGTTTGAATATATCATAGCCATTCTCTTCACATTGGGTTCTGGAATGATTCTGGTTGGGAAATGGACGAAGCTATAATTCAACCCTCTTGCCCAGAAAGTAGTAGTTCTGATTCTAACAATTGAAACTTGGATTCCTAAGAAATTAGCAGGAAGACTGACCTTGTACAAGGTGCCTGTATGAAGATATGCAATTTCTTCGTTTGCATTGTCAAGAACAAATTCATCTAGGGATTTCGGGTCGTTGGTGCTAGGAGATTCAGCCAGAGATGGCAATGAGAACAGACAGGCATCAATAATAATCAAACTTGTTATTTGCAGTAATTTATGAAACCCCACGAATGTGTCACTCCGGAAGAAGCTTCCTCTTCTGCTGTTTCTGATCATGTCACATTCTTGAATCGCCTTCATTAAATCTTTCCCTTTTTCTTCTGACTTTATCATACAGAGAAACAGATTTTGAGGAGAACCCAGAATCAGATTTCTTGAATCAACCAAGCCTGACAGAAAACTTTTCTTTTGTAAAAACCACAATCGGATCCCTCTTTCAACCATGAACAAATAATTGATGGGGAATATCAAGAAAGAACAAGATTTAAGATCTAAAATCGAAATCTTTCATCCCATGTTTACCTATTTGTCGGGATACTATTGGAATTTCCAAACCAAGAAATCAGGAGGAACAAGGCGATATGAAAAATTTGAGGCAACATGTTTGCAGTCAATCGATTTTTTCGATTCCTACATGATATTATATTATATAATAATACACCAATATTAAATATGTATATTAATAATGAGCAATGACATATATTGTTCATTATCATGATACATGTGCTGGTCTTTATTGGCTTCAACAATGTAAAGACATCGGTAGATCAGATTCAGTCCCATTTGATGTGTTCTTCCAAGTAATTAGAATCCTCGAAATCCTCCAGAAATATATCTTCTATGGGTCGGCAACGCTGCCCATATTCTACATGGAACTTCTTATAGTAGTGAAAGAAAACGTTATTTTTTTCATCTCTCAAATGATAAATACAACGACTATAAATATGTTTTTACTTAAAATTCAACTTATTAAAGATAAAATATTTACACTTATATGTGCATTGGGGCGTTCGAATATTTATATAATAGTTTATGATTATTTTTACTTTTTTTAGACTGAATTAGTTAATTTTTTATCATATAATAAGGATTTGTATTTTTTGCCACTATTGACATCCCATTTTATTCCGATCACCCAAGTTAGCATAAGTGGCTTTATAATTATTTAATTTCATAAAACATTATAAAGTAAGAAAAATATATCTAACATGTCTGACCTGAGAGATCACCTAAAAAATTGATGTAAAATTTTTGGGAATTTGAAACATCCTTGCAGACTACTCAATTTTCTAGTGATGAAGTCTCAAGGACCTTGGTCTCTTTTGTAACCAAGGAAAGTGAGATTTTCTAGTGATAATCAGGGTTAACTCCTCAGTTACCACCATAGGCATATGCCTTAAATCTGCAACATTATTCATTCAACAATGAAGCGGGTAATGATACATGTGGTAAAGATTAAGAGGGGATTCTACTCTACATAAAAGGATAGAAGAAATGCCTCTTACACAGGTAGATACAGTGACACAAAAACACAAGATGATTTCATTGCACCCACTGATGAAGTTTATTCAGTTCCAGCAATCTTCTTCTTCAGTGCCTCAATGTCTGTAGCTAGTTCCTTTCTGCTGGACTGGGGAAGCAAAATTATATTACCAGTAAAAATTACGTTGTCTAAGATACGTTATCACCAATTAAAAAAAAAAAAAGGATTTCTGACTACAGAAAAAGAATATCATAAGCAGGTGCATAAGCACATGATCAAACGTCACGAAAACCATTTTCATATGGGCCGACTTCAAGAGAGTAACGTAAGATTTTCAGTGTTTTTTCTTGACATCCCTCCATGATTAGTTTTTCTTATATATAACTTCTAATGGACTTCCTTCTGTCATTGAAGTCGGGAACCAGCATCTGCATGTTATACGAAGAGCTAAAACGTATTTAAGAGAATGGGAGAAAGAAAAGATTAAACTTTAGATCACTTGGTTATAAAAGCTTTGATGTCCTGCAAGTAATACTTTTAACTTAAAATCTTATCTCCTGAAGTGACAGTTTATAAATGAATTTTACTATCATCTCTATATAAAATAGAACATATACTATCTACATTCAAGTAAACTCATGAAGGGTTGCTATCCAAAACCACCACTTATGTTTAAAGAACAAAAAGCTTTTGATTCTAAGGCATTAGTAAAATTCATGTCGTATGTAACCTACCTTAAACAGAAGGTACCGGTAGACAAACCACCCAGTGTATCCTAGCCCTACCAACTCCATAATCTTTGGAAGCTGAAAGGCAAGTTATTTCAAACATCAGATTGATTCACAAACATGCAGAAGCATATGAAAGAATGCTAATATGTCCACAACAGAAGGGCATTACCAAGGGGACTGAGTTGATGGCGCCCACAAGAATGGAAGACAGCCAGACAGCAACTATAGCTCCACCGCCATAAAGAAGTACCGTGGTCTTGTTTTCAACACCATCCCACTGGTAATGATAAATGCAGGGCATTATTTTCCGCATGGGTTACAGGACAAAGGTTGACTAGAGATAATTGGAATAGGGATTTTCCGAAACAAATCGAAGGACCTTTTGTTTTCTAAAAAGTAAGATTCTTTGCAACAACATTCAAAAGTTAAACTTCTTGCCTTCTCCTTCAAATCAGTGAATAGCTCATTGGCATCTACAGGACTGGATGTGTCGTCTGAAGATGCCCTGGTCTGGAGCAGGAAAGGTTTCCGGGATTCTGAGAGTGAGAACCAAAAGCCAAGTTACTTGAAGGGACAAAAAGAATAAGCGAATGTATAGGACTGAACTCAATAACTTATAGTCAACATCGAGGAAATGAAACAGACAGCAGATCTTTTTGCTCTTTAAAAGCAGGAAAGAGTCCTTTTTGGATTTACTTTTGTCCACACTTACATAGCAGTTACTTATTTCTGGGAATCCATAAAACCGAACCAATTCAGAATTCACATTATAGACAATCTCCCAGGGGAAAAAGGCGGATGCGTATCTGATCCTTATCATATTCACAATACCCAATTACAGGTCGTTAAGCCTTTCAAAGTCGACATTATAACTATAAGAAACTGTAAATATTGTACGTAAAAAACCATGTCACAGAATCCTGTGATCATCAACAAAATGGAAAAATCTGACAGCCAGACTCGGTATTGAATCAGAAGAAACAAAGAAATTGTAAGTGCAGAAGCGGAAGAATACCTGAGAAGTGTTTGAGAGAGGGAGAGAGAGAAGGGGTGGAGAGGCGAGGAGGGAGATAAGGGAGAGCAGAGCAGCGAGTGACGTTGGCTGCGGCGGTGGAAGGAAGGCGGGAAACAAAGACGGTGGCGGAAGTCGCCGTTGCCATTGCCACTGAAGACGAAATGAAATTTGGGAACCTTGGGGATTTGGTTGGGTCTCACAGAGCTTGACGATTGAATATTGCGAGGGAGGGATTTGGGCAGAGATAATTTGGGACGAAAACGAATAAGGAAAGAGAAGGCGTGGTGATGAGATACGACATTGACTTTGTTATCCTCTCGCCATAACAATACACGATTATAATCGGACATGATTTCAAGCGTTGACACGTGGACATCTTTCTGTTTCTGATTGGTTCATTCCCTATCCGAAAATCCACTGCCTTCACTCTCCTCCTTCCCTTTATTATTTATTCGATTCATAGGAATAGTTTAGTCCCACCAAACTTTATTTATCAAAATAAAATGCCGTTGCTTCTTTAATCCTAATACAAATTACTCTTAAATTTTAATTAATTAGGAGTAAATCCTCTATAATTGATATATGTGAATAATTAACTTCAATAATTAGCTTATAGTTAGTTGTTGCACCCAAAATTTCAACTTTACATATTTTATTGATAATAACAAAACAGGATAATTAATTATTTAGGGTCAATTTGTTTCAGGATTTTTTTTAAAAAAAAATTATTTTCAAAAAAATATTTTATGAGTTTTTATCATGTTGATTTAAAAATTTAAAAAAGCTCAGAATATTAAAAATTTAAATATCTGTAATTTGAATCATTTAAAACATTGCCCTCTCAACTTTAATAATAACTTTATCCTTTATAAATTTATTTTTTAAAATGTAAGGGATGAGTTGCAGCAAATTAAAGTCTTATGAAATAAATTTTAATTAAGTCAAAATTATACAAGACAAAATAATTAATTTTTTTAAAAAATTCACATACTTAGCCCTATATATTTAAATTGCTTGTTTTCAAATGAATTTAAATATGTAACTCTTTTATAGATTATTTATTACATAATAAATTTTTATTATTAATATTATTAACAAATTAAAATCTACCTATCTTAATTTTATTTGATACAAGTGTATTAAATAATAAATTAAGTATATCACGCTCTTAACTTTTCCCCTAAAAAAAGATACATGCTAATATTTGATTTATCAGTAAGCTAACTCTTAAAGTTAATTTTAGTTTCAAAATTCAAGTAATGTCTTATCATCAGATCAACCCTCGTTAGCTATTCATTGGGCCTAAAAGAGGGTACTTTGGTTAAGAAAAACAAATTGAAAAGTCAATTTTAAAAAGATGCTAACCTTTGAAGGGAAAGAAAAGGCCGGCAAAAAATATTTAAGAAATCATATATTAAGAACATGAAACAACTAAAACAAAAAAAAAAATTGTATGAATGTTTATGAAATTATTTTTTTATACATCTGTAACTAAATTATTAAAAGTCAATGATATTGAGAGTTATGTTATAGAATGATTTGATCACATATGTATAAAAAAATAATTTTATAATCTTATATATATATATATATATTTAAATTATATATATATATATATATATCTTATTTTAAACCACTGAATGCTGGTGGGCTACTAGCAAACGCCTTTTTTGTTTTTTTTTTTTATTTTTTTCCCTCTTTTGCCGAATTTCCCAAAATGAGAAGAAAGAAATATTTGATTCTATGTAGACCGATGTTTCTAGTGTCAAGGCCCGTCTCAAGAGTGCAAAATATGACGTTGCCTGAGAACGGCCCAATCCTCTCCTTCCTCGATCCCCATCCCTCGCCTGCCCTAATCGCGATCGTGGGCGTGCCTCCACACCACCATTAAACCCTCCCTCTCCGAGCTCTCTAGTGGAAGAGAACGAAGCCGTGCTCAGGGGACCTTCTGTTGCAACTTCTTTGATTGAAACATGCTGTTTCGGCTAACAAAATTGAGGCCTCTTCTCCGTCATTCCCTTGATTCTTCCTCTCCCTCTTCGAGCTGCCAACTCATTCAAAGATGCTCTGTCAGCAGGACGGCGAAAGGGAAAGCGAAGATCAAAGCAGGGCAGACTTTGAAGAGGTCCAAGATCACACGAAGAAAGGAGGTGAAGAAGCCCAAGGAGGCGGAGGAGAGGCTCCCGTGAAAGACAAGAGCGCGAAATGCTGTACGACCAGTGCCTCAATGCTCCCACTCCTGTACGTTACCTCACTGAAAAGGAAAGGGCGCGTGAAGCTGAACGTGAGGAAAATGGGTCTCATAAGTAAGGATCGGCAGCGAGAAATTGACATGATGAAGCCGAAGAACTATTCGAAGTACAAGGTTTCGGAGACGCCCACGATAATCGGAACTCCTGGGCTGGATTTGATAACGTTGGGTATGGTGGACGAGGACAAGATACCCAAGTATGAATTGACGGTTGAAGATGGGAAGAGGCTTGCTAAGGAGTATAGCAGGGTGTTGATGAGGAAGCACAGAGCGCGGCAAGCTGCGGAATCAACTTTAAGGTTGAAGAAAGAGGCCATCGAAGCATTGCCCGATCATTTGAAGGAGGCTGCTTTGGTACCTGACTTAACCCCATTTCCTGCAAATCGTTTTATGGCCACTCTGACTCCTCCTATTGAGGGATACATTGACAAAGTTAGGGAAGCAGCGATGAAGAGTAGTGGCACTGAGAAGATCAGATAATCCAAGGTCATTGCTATTAATGTTTGACTTTTCTTCTCTTCATGATGTATTGATTGCGTGGGTTTTCTGAAGTCCTATTGTTATAGGTTTTTCCCCTGTAAATAGATGAGATTCAAATGTTGCAGCTTAACTTCGTATTTGGGCTTCTATGTAGGATAAAAAACAAGCCGGAAAAAGATTCTTAGATGAATGCTCGCTAATAATAATTTTTTTCTTGTGGCAGTATATCCAACGTGTGGATTCTTTTGAAATATTTTGCTTCAAAATTTCCAGTTTAATTACATTGAATTTGTTAGACTTTATGTTGTCAACCCTGAAGAAAAGTGATGCTTGATGAACTTAATAGCTTCTAAAGAATTTAAGGTTTTAACTTTGAAAAAGAAAATGAGGATTTGACAGTCCCCGCTGTAGGGGGAAACCTTCAACAGTGAGATGCCACTGGGAGAAAGGTTACCTCCTGCTCCTTCCAAATGTTAGACATCTGGATTCTAGATTTAGGAAATGAATTGATAAATCCAAATGACTTAGTTTTGGACCGTGTAAAGCAATTTACTTATGCTTAGCTCCGGAATTCATCTTCTTATCTGTGGAAGAGTTTTGCCCATTTATGCTGGCAAAGTGTTTTTTGCTGTGGATGTTGATTCTGAATATTGCATTCATACTGTATTGCCTCTTTAAAATAGGATAGATTTCTCTTTTAATGATGCTAGGCCTTAATTCAATCTTCAACCCGTGATTTCCTTTCATACTTATTATTCAATCATGATTTTCTCTTTCTTACGTACTAATATATCTTAACTCATTCCGTAGTTGTGTCTTTCCTCACACTTTTCCAGTTTAAATGATCTTTTACATTTGCAGAACTTTGCTTGAAAATGCCTGTTCACATGTCTTTTTCTGCCCCCCCCCCCCCAATTAAGAATTGAAGTCCAAACAAAATTTATGTATGTGGTTTATGGTGTTGTGCACTTTTTGATGATGGTTTTACTGCCGTGATGAGAAGTTATGCAGAATAGGACATGATTACTCTGTTCTGGGTCCCTTTTCTATCATCTTTCCATCCAATTTATTGATGGGGTTTATTGATTATGCAATTTCTTACCCATCCCGAAAACATTTATGTGATATCTTCATTTCGTGTCTACTCACTATGATGTCAGGAGTAAATGAAAACAGATTCATTCATTCAGAACCTGAACGGTACATATTATGCCTGTCATGTTGAGGTTGATTGATTTACACTCTGTGGTCTGGACTAACATGTACCAGATCTTTGGACATGCTTTCTTCATTTTAATCTGGATACGTTCAATCTGGTGCAGATTGAGCTTTCAGGAAACCTTTGGATTGGGAACAGTGTAATGGAAGTAGTTCTGCCGGCATTGGAACGAACGTGCAGCATCGAGCAACTGATGTAATAACATGATGAGCTATGCGTATGTTCTTTCATAGTTTAGTTTAAATAAGCTTGATTCTGGGCGCTGTAGTTGCATAGTTTAACGTGTGACTCAGGCTAATTGGATCAAATCGTGTTCAAATTTGTTAGAAATCTAAATCTTCAAAGATTCGAGGGAGGGAATCATGGAGCAAAAGTTAGAAGCCTGGTTCTCTGACAGCTTGAGAGGAATGACATTGTTTAAATACTAAATTTACATGACTTTCTTACCATATCTATCATTAGGTTCTCCAATAAAAACTTGATATGGATTTTTTAGTTTTGTAAAACCTTGTGGATGTTGTTTGTTACCCAAAACCTGATATCAAGGGTCTGAAAAATGAAACTGATTTTTATGATTGTCTTGTTCTATAAAGGTCCAACGACGCGTAGAAATTACACACACGTGTATTGAGGTGGATGATGTTTCTCATATTGCCACTTAAATCATTTTTATGTTTAGGACTACATTTTACATCTCCCTAAGGAAATGGTAAAAATAATCTTTTCAATATTTTGTACGCTGATTTCATAATTTTCTGGTTATATGTGGTTGTTAATGTATCAGGTGTCCTTTTAGACCATTGCATGCCATCCAACACTAACTTTTTTATGCAATTATTATGAAATTTATTGGTTAAAAAAGTATCAAACTACTGATGAGTACTATAAGGCAAACATTGTATAAGTTCGTATTTTTGTTAACGATCCCCTTCCACTCTGTCATGCCATTTCATTCGTCAGTCATACAAATGATGCGGTACGCTGGGACCAATCTCCTTCAATTTCAATGTATCACGAACTCAAAGTTCACGTCCTATGATTCAGAGATTCGAAGAGGTGTTCTTTGACAGATGGAATCACCGTCATTGACTATACGTCTGACATGGAAGGGTCCTGGTACCCTCTGAATAGAAAAGAAATAGAATGCTGATGCAAGCAATGCAAACAATCTATGCCCGTAGCCACAAAACTGATCAAAAGGAATTCTTGAGAGGCACATCTGACAGATAGAGACCCATAGTTCTATCAGCATATCGAACTATTCTCATATATCACATGGCTTTCTATAATATGACGACAGACAACAAACTGACGCATTCACAATCATTGGTCATATATTGATA